TTTGGGTTTTTTTTTTTTTTTTTTTTTTTTTTTTTTTTTGGGCTCAGTTTGTAGTTGTGGTTTTCTGTTTGGTTTGTGGTTTTGTTTGTGGGGGTTGGTTTGTTTGATTTTTTTTTTTTAACAGAGCTGGGGAGGAAGAAAAAACCATCAAGTCAGAACCTGAAAAACTCATTTCTGTATTCTTAAACAGGACTTTCTGGATAGGTAGAGTTAACAATAACATTCAACATTCCTGTTTGCTCAGATTCACCTTAAAGAAGCCATAAAGTAGAGCTCATCAGAAGACACAGTTAAATGCAAATCAAGATGCTGAAATCCTGGATTTTTCTCTTTCAGGGGTTGATTATTTCCCTACCACTAACATATTTCTGTCTCTCCCATCTCCTCAGTTACCCCTCTTTAACCTTTTGGTCCCCCGTAAGTCTCATCTCAGAATCTTTTCTGGCTGGAATGCACAGAGGGGAAAAGACAAATCAATCTTTCTTGTCTGTTTCTGCTGACAATACATCTTTTCTTTTTCTTCTTACAGATACAATACCTCTTCTTCTAGTTCACATTGTGACTGTTCTTCATATTACTGTGATCATTCTATTTCAAAACCATCACCATGAAAAATTACCTGTGTTTAGGAGGAAACAAACCTCCCATTCTACACATGTACTGTTTGGTCGTGAGCAATCAAAATAATTCAATCGGAATTTAGAAAAGAGAAGAAAGTTACTAAATTTCAGAATTAAAGATGCATTTGATTATTGCAATTCCAGCAGATTGCTTCAAGCAATAAATAGTCTTCAGAGGGATGCCATTTACCAAGACAGCTGGGAGGACAAAAATAGATGCAAGTAACCTACTCGCATTGTATGTAAAACAGTTGTAACAGAGAGAATGAGGGTAAGACAACATATGTCAGTGGAGCTTTCTATTTCCACAGACAGAGCAAGTTCATATTTCTCTCAAAATACATTTTATAAAACACAGTTCTGAAGTGCACGAATACATTTATGCAGCATTACCTACCAAAAAGGTTATTTCTGTCGTCAACAACTGTTGTTTTAAAAATATGCAGCATCTGACCCTGTGCCACTGCAGTGACTCTGAATCCTGATGAAAGGATAATACTAACTCTTGCTATGTTGTTTGCAGCATTAAAAGCAAAAAAAAATTTTGACATTTAATTTTACTGAAAAATTACTCAGATTTCCAAACCCGGTGATTTTCCACTCAGAATTTTTAGAGAAAAACTAAAACATCTTAAATTTAACAATTAAAAAAAAAAAGAGTCAAAATAAATAGGGTACAATACCTGAAGAAGGTCGCTGAGGTCAAGTAACATATCTGTGAAAGAAGTCAAGGAATATACATGCTTCTTGAACGTGACAGTATTTCTTCATTTCATTTCATTAGCAAGTCAAATAAAGGGAAGAAATAAACCCAGGTTAACTGTTAAAGAAACCAAATATAGGTTAGGACAATTCACCACTTATGCTAACAGCCAACATCCAGTTAATTGTTCAGCTGCCTAAAACACCCTGCCAGCACCTGCTGAATTCACTGCTCAAGCTGACACAGTGAAGCGATGGTCTCAAAGAGCAAGCCAACAATTGTGAGACCTACAACACTCACCATATCCTGCAGCCTAAGAAAGACCCAGTGGTAAGGGGGTCCTCTGCTCTGCTCAGACCCCACCCCAGTGCTGGGATCCCAGCACTGGAAGGACACTGAACTGCTGGAGAGAGTTCAGGGGAGGCCAGCAAGATGATCAGAGGGATGGAGCTGCTCTGCTATGAGGAAAGGCTGAGATAATTGGGATTATTCAACCTGGAAAAGAGAAGGCTGTGGGATGACCTAATTGCTGCCTTCTGGTACCTGAAGGGAGCCTACAAGAAAGATGGAGAAGAGCTTGTTGTGATAGGACAAGGGGGAATGGCTTCAAACTGGGAGTAGGGTTAGATTGGATATTGGGAAGAAATTTTTTAGGGTTAGGGTGCTGAGGCCCTGGCACAGGTTACCCAGAGAAGCTGTGGATGCTCCATCCCTGGCAGTGTTCAAGGCCAGGCTGGATGGGGCTTGCAGCAACCTGGACTAGTGGAAGGTGTCCTGCATGAGGCAGGGGGTGGAACTGGATGACCCTTAACTCCAACTCAGGCCATTCTATTATTCTACGATAACTAAAACCAGGAATAGCATCAAGATAGAACACCCTTATTACACTTTAAAATATAAAGTATCATCAGTCTCCTATGCCAGCTTAGGAGCCCAGAAACACACTATGGAAGAGCAAAGTAAGAAAACTGAAATAAGTTTCTTTTGCTCTCTTCTATGAGGACACGTCAAAGAGCTGGGAAGGGAAAGCTGCTTTGGCTGCTCCCTTCTCCAGCCAAGCAAATCCAGTGTTACCTTTCAGTTTTCACTCCCTTCATGATATCCTGTGCTGCTGCAAAATATTAGGTCACCATCTACTCATTATGGGCACACTTGGAAAACATAATAGTTAAAAACAAGCCAAACCACTGCAAGTTTCCATTAGACTTAAGTGAAAGCAAGCACACTTATGAGTGCATTGTCTAAACAGTATCCAAAATAGAGGAGGAAAAAATAAAAGAAAGCACCATGAGGCCCAAGGTACAAAGGTAGCTCTCTTCCTGCTGTTAATGAGCACATGCTGGATGTCCTATCAGCTACTCAGGTGTGGCTCACATGTTGTAAAAGGGTTTTATTATTAAAAGGAGTGTCAAGGTAAAGTGTGAGAGAAGGGCAGAGAGTGAGGTACGCAAAGAAAACACGTATGCAGGGCTGTGTGTGAGTTTTTGCATGCAGCAATGTGCTAAGAAATCCAGCATTAAATAAAATGCAGGGACACCAGTGTAGTTTGGTGCATGCTGTGGTAACATAAGTATTAGTGAATGTTCTTCAAGTAAGCCAGAGTAATACAGTGCACATTTCTCCTAAACATTATCAGCTGTGGAAGGAGAGTAATTCAGATAACGTAATCAGTTTATACATAAACATTTTCCTTGCTAAGAACTTTTATCCTTGAGCATTTCTACCCTCAGTTTGCATTCAAAATTGTATGAATGTACTCCAAATTTGTTACAAAATTTAATACATTATGTTAATATTATTTGGTGGAAATTAATTTCCACATTAAAACCACAGCAATGCTGGATAGTTAATTAGCTGAAAATTCAGTATGGCTCCAAAAAAAAAAAATCAGAAATCCATTATAGGTAGTATTATGCAAGACATTACAGTAATCTGAAATTTTAACACAGTAAGGGAATTGTTAACAAAAACCATCTGTAAAATACACAGCTTAGAAATCTACACAGAGCAATACTGAATTCAGTGCAAATTTTTTGTAAAAGTGAAAAAAGAGAAAATGGAAAGACGTTAGCATTGCAATTGCCAAGGAACCATAATAATTGTCAGCTCATCAAACAGATCTAGGAAGAAATCACTATGCCAATTTTGTGCTCAAGAAATATTCTAAGTCTGAAAATGTTCCCAGCTCATTATTGACTTGAAGTGCCTGATTATTCTATGCCCACCCTGAGATACTGTCCCCAATGAGACAAAGCAAAATTATCATTCATATCTGATAGATCTCACCACAATTTAGGAGGCAAAAAACCCCTGAAACACCAAAAGAAATGCATCTCATAGGTTACTGAGGCACCAAAGTGAATAACTGAGTGGTCCTGAGCCTGGCTGCTGTCGCTGGAGACAGAACAGGAGTCGGAAGGAGCATCAGTGCCAAATGCTAATTCAGATTTTAGGTGAGCCAGAGAGGTACTTTTCTAACCCAGGCATTTCAGTTACAGTCAGGAAATCGGCATACCAGGGTATTCTTCAACCTCCTCAAACTGTTGAACACACTTTGATGGAAAATCTAAACTTACTAACACATTACAAATGCTTAGGCTTTATTACTGCAAAGAAAACAAACCTGCCTTTTTATGCATTTATAATGACACAAGATCAGAGCTAAGGATTGGGAAATTCACAAGCAGGGTTCAGGCAACTCAGAATCAATTTAGAGCTACACTATAGATGCTTTAACATACAGTTCCCTTGCTCCTTAGAGAAGTTTGGTTCAAATGCCCACCAAAATTGTAAGCAAAGGTCACAATAAAAATGTGGTGCTTCTGGATTTCATTTAAGGTAGCCTCCAGCAATCTCTCTCCCTGATTAGATGTGTAGCTACTACAGCAAAGCAAAAGGGGAAACTTGAGTCATGCAGTAGCTCTGGGTTGGCCTTTACTATGAACACTGTGGGCACGATTATCAGCAGGAAGTGGTTGTAAAAACAGCCGTTGTTTTCAAACTCCTTTTCAGAGCTGGAACAGCCCAGGAGAACATACAACAACAGCTGAAAACAGCAGATAATACTTAATATGTATTCAAAAATTATACAATCGTAAGACAAATGTTTTCATTGAGGCTGGAAGAAAACAATGATCATTTTACATATGGAGACTGCTACCCACATGGAAAAGCTCCCGAAGGGATGGAAAGCTACTGGTACTGTAGAAATACCCATGCAAATAACAAGGCACAGGGGACTTTGGTTATAAATGTGCCCAAGTTAAAAAAAAATAAATTGAAAAGAAAAAGTATTAGCAGTTAAACTGGTTTTCCTTTGCTATTAAGTCTTTAAGCAAGTTTCACCAAGGTATACAGCTGTCTGTCCAGCACTAGAAATGCCTAAATGACTAAATCAAGATAAGTCAGGTCTAAAGGCATTATTTCAAAAAATTAAATTCAACGGAATCCTTTGGCCAACATGATGCAAAAGGTCAGACTGAGTGGCCAAAATGTTCCTTTTCTGCCTTTATAATGTGGATAATATGAGAACTCCATGATTCACAGCAATAATGACCTCATTCTCAGCACCAGAGGAAAAAAAAAGTTCATGAAGAAATGAATAGTACCGGAAACCTAAAACCCAAAATACCAAAACAAGCATGTATTTGTACTTCAGAGAGACCTACATTTTACATATTCCAGCAATCCTAAAGTACTTGTGCAGCAAAATCCCCCTGATTTTCAATAATAACATCTAGCAGGAGGCAAATCTGCTATTTGCAAGAATAAATTGTGCAAGACGCTGTTAAAATAACATCATTTACAATACAGTTGTTACCTCTCCTAAAGAAATCTTTCAAAAATTAAAATATTTATTGTCTGACAATCTACAATAATCAGGAAATCTTCAGATTATTTTATGCTACTTTTCAAAGTTCTTCCACTGGGTAGCATGGTGTATCTGGAAGACACAGGCCAGTATTAAGAACCAGGGAGAAGACAAAGGGTCTAGCATTTATTTTAGTTATTTAGTTAGTTTTTGTAAGTTACCCATGGAACATTTTTTACTTATTTTTACAAGCTTACTACAAAAGCAGCCATACCATGGAAGGAGAACTGGTGTCAAGGAACTGTGACTGCAAGCTACTCAGGAGAAATCTGACATCCATAGAAGTCCTGCTGCTGTAATGAAGTGTCACCTTTATTCAGCTTAAGCTAAAACGCTTTCTGTTTCTCAGAAAAACTAAAACCAAACCCATTAAACACATAAAATATTTAAACATAATCTCACTTTCTGTACTCAACAGCTGCAATTAAGCTGGTTGCAAATAAAAAAGCAAAACCCAATAGGAACAGGTCTGAAAAGCAAAAAAAAAAAAAAAAAAAACCAAAAAAACCCCCTGAATATTACAACAAAATTTTCTCAAGTTCTTAAGAAAAAGAATTATTTGCAATTTCAGTGTCAGGGTTCTGGATAAACTACATAACAAATGGGAACTTCCCAGAAGCACTTTCTTCAACAAACACATGGAGAAAAGACAAAAGGGAGGCTGAACACAGAAGTGGGGTGATACCAGGGTGAAAAACTAGTGACAGCTTTGTCTGGCCCAGAACCCAGTTTCCAGCCTTTCAGATTCACAACCTTCCCCTTCCATAATTTCATATACCATATGATTTCTGATTATGACGTACCATGATTATACCTCTGCTGCTTTACAAACTTTCACCATTTTAATTAGTCATTAATTGAGACTGACTGACAACGCTAATTGTTTAAAGTAAACATTTCTCTTTCCAATGACACCGAACTAAAACAATTAGAAAATAATACCCAAACTCAATTCTTTTGCAGAAAACTCATTTCTGACAACTCTAATGAAAGTTTTGCCTCAAGGCTGAATTCCCACAGAGCCAGCTTCCAAAATTTCTTCAGTCTCCAATTTTGCCTCCGCAAAGAAGTCCACACAGCACAGGCTGCACTCGAGTACACAAATAAAAACAGCACTTAACAAATGAAACTGCTAAGCACA